AAAAAAAAAAAAAAAAACAAAACAAAACAAAAAAAACCAAACCAAACAAACAAAAAGAGCAGAGTATGTAATTTCATGTTTGCATTGCCACTTGCCTTAAAATACATATTTTTCAAAGCAGGGCGTGATACTATTACACACTGAAGTGTTTTATTTGGACCAGAATATAAAGCGATAATCCAAATGTGGCCTTTATGAAATAGCTACTATTACTCCACAGAATGATGCTTTGTAAAATGGTTTATAAACACTGTATAAATGCTTTACAACCATAGCTTCAGAACACAAACAGGTGTCATGAGCCTGTACGTCCAGGCTAAAAGGTGGCCTGATTGTGGTTGTTCCATTCCAAAGACTGTAAAAGATGCCAAGGAGTCACTAATAAGATAATTTCCTTTTAATATGTTTCTCAGAATGAAATGTACAAAATATACTAAAGTGGTCTTTATTATCACTAGCTATAAATATAGTAATTAAATGGTTCAATTTTGTTCCTTCAGAGCATGGTGCATTGACACTCAGTGTAGCTCATGTTACAGCCATGCACTGCACAAGATGTTCTGGTTAATATGAACCATATATACGACAGTGGTCCCATAAGATTTTAAACAATTTTTACCATATCTTTTCTATATTTAGACACAGTTAGAGACACAAATATTTAAAATTGTGTTACAGTTGCCTATAGTAATCAGTAAAGTTTCATGGTGTACACATTTGTAGTCTGGGAGCAAAGGAAAAACAGGTTATGTCAAATACCCTAGGTATGTAGTAAAGCTATACAATCTAGTCTTGTGTAAGTACGCTCTATGATGTTTGCACAACAATAGAATCACCTTATGATGCATATCTCAGAATATTTCCCCATCATTGACACATTACTATATATGAAGAATATATACCAATACTATATATTAGTGTATACTGTATAGATCCCTTGTATGTGAGGATAACCTGATAAAATACAGAACATTTGATTTGAATTTCAGATCAGTGAGTAAATTATTTAAAATGTCTCATGCAGTATATTATTCTCTGCTTATGTAAAATTAATTGGGTGTCCTGTATTTCTATTTGCCAAATATGACAACTTAATATATGAATGAATAAAATCTTGAGATGTCATAAGTTAATATAGTACTATAGATACTAATATAGTATTACTATAGTACTATTAGTTTACAGTACATTAGTTTCTAGTATAGGTACTAATGCATTAGTATTATATATGTCATACTATATATACTAACATAGCATGAATATAGTACAATTATAGTATTATATGGTATTACATTTGTACTATACTATATAGTAGAAATGTACTAAGGGAGTCAAATATTCTGTTTTATAAGGTTATTCTCACATACAAGGGGTCTTTATAAAACTGAAGCCCATACTTGTATACCTATTTCAGATTAGCTTTAAGATGTAATTTTCCGTTTAGACAGGTGTTTGTAGGAGTCAAAGAGAAAATTTTTCTGCTTTAAACATCATGATAGTTGCAAAGAGAAATTGAATAAGTAAAATAAAGAAAAGGAGACACTCTCCTTTTCTTGTGATTGGGTATATATTTTTTTTTTTTTGGAAGGTAAATTCAACTTTTGGGGGAAATTAAGTTTCAGGCCACCAATGCCATATTTAAATTGTTTATAAAGTAATGTTATTTATACAAGCTGAAGAAATGTCTGGAGGTGCTCCCTGTTGACTTTCTCTGCCCCTGCCACCAATCTGATTAGTAGAGCTTGCTTGAATGCTCTTCTAAGGGAAGTGATTGTCCTATTTCTATCAGGTAGTTAAAATATTCATGGAAATGCTGGTCTCACAAACAAATATAAAAGGGAAAACTATGGCATCTGTTGTATATAGAGTTGTATTACTTTTTTAGGAAGAAGTAATGTGGAGAGGTAATGAGATCAGGGTTCCATGATTACATTTTGATATGACATACATGGAGAGGAAGAGAAAAGGGACAAACCTCAAGAATCTCTCCTGTGAAAAAATAATCATACTCTGGGCTTCTGAAGAAGTAACATTTACCTTGCTTCAGATGCATGGGTGGGTGGGTATGAGTTTATGTATTCTAGACTAGAGATATGTGAATGACAATTTATGAATTATAGAATCTAAAAATCATAAATAATATAAAACTCTTTTGAGATATGGGAGGACAGAAGTGAAATAAAAACCATATTAAGGAACGGTAAATAAGGGACTTGAGCATCCACAGATTTTGGTACCCATGGAGAGTCCTGGAATGCTGATGTGAAGAACAGGAGAAGTGGTAGGGGCATGAGTGGGTGAGAACGTCACACTGAAGACTGAAGATCTGACCCTGATTATTTTAAAAATAAATTGACTTTGAGTCAACTGAGCATAGGAAATGAATAATAAAGGGACAAAAAGCCAATTATTGGTTTAGATGATATATCAATAAATTAAAAACAGCTCAAACTTAAGTACAAGTTATAATTATAGATTAGTGAAGAGAAAGGCAAGATTTAGCATCATGATATTTGTGGAATGTACAATTAGGGCTCACTGAGAACGTGTATATAAAGCATATAAATTACTTTTTACAGTCTATGATTAATTTGCAGGAATTAAATGAAGGTCTAAAATAAGAGGCTTTCTTACGATGCAAAATAAAACAACAACAAGCTTGTTTATGTATAAATTCTTGTGGGAATGAGAAGGCAAAGTATGAATGACACACACTTTGCATACCTCTGATTATATGAGAGATCTCAAGGATTCCAAACTCCAGAAATTTTGTTACTTGGTCGAATTCTCATCTCCTGACACTATGTATTTCAATTATAAAAGTGCGTGTGGGAGCTGTGGATTTGGCTCTTGCTGTGGCTGTGGGTATGGCTGTATACAGAGCACCCACTGTGGCTGTAACGGTTATCATGGTTGTCGTGAAAAATAAACATTCTGTTGTAGATGATTCTACATTTTTTTTTTGCTTCTAAGCAACACCATTGAGCATTGCCTCTTATTTAGTTTCTCAAAGATCTATTCTGCTTTAGTCATCCTCAATCCTGATAGCCCTACACTTGAGAAAAATGACTCATCTGATGAAAGCCTCATTTGTCTCCAAAGTTCCTGTTAGTCATAGGTATAGTGGGGTTTCACTTAGAGATTGAAAATATGACTATTTTGAAATTTTTTAAAATATGAGGTTTTCTTTGTGTGCATGTATAAGAGTCAATGCCAATTTGGGGCATTTTTTACCCCCTCGAAAGCCAGACTACTGTGTAGATTAGTTGATCCTTAGCTTCTTAGAAATTTCTTCTTCACTTCCAATAATTTTCTTCTCTTTATCTTTTCTACTCTACATAAAGCTTGAGTTATTTAATTGTCAGTGTCCACCACGTATTTAATATTAAATAAATATGCACCTGTTAATTGGGTGTACTTCTAAATATACAAAATAAAGAAAGGAAATGGAATGGTATCATCTTTAGTATAGAATGGTAGTTTATTATCAGCCAAAACAAAGGGTGGAGAAGAATCACTGAAACATCTTGAATGACAAAAGGAAAAACTGTCTCAGAGATGAAGTCACAAGTTCTATGGTGACTATTAATGAAAGACAAAAAATTATGGTAGATAGTGACACTCAACAGCAATTTTAAATATAAAGACTGAGCCATGGTAAAATCTTAAAATCATTTATTATTCAAGATGTTTGTTGCAGAAAAGCAAACTACATATACAGTACACAATGAAGATTATATTTATTTTGGAGGGTTTTAACTGTAAAAAAGCCTCCAACAAGTTAATATGACACACTTAAAGATAAGTTAATTGCCAATATATTGTGCAACAGCTAGGCATTATTCAAGAGTAGTTCTCAAAAATCTGATTAGCCAGGCAAATTCAAGTTTTTGTTTTCTCCTCTTATATTTACAGAATCAAAATTCCTTAAATATGTCATCAACAATGTTGAAATAATTGAATATCCAAATGAAGAAATTAATGTGAACATTGATATCTCACATCATATGAAAATTAATTTGAATTGAATTGCATATTTAAATTTAAAAGTTAAATTGTAAGTGTTCTGGAGAAAAACACATTGCATTATGCACCACATTATGTACAAAAATGAACTCAGGTTTAATTGCAGACTTACATGTAAAATCTAAAATACAAAATTTCTAGAGAACCACTTTTCTTTGAAGTAGACAAAGATTTCTTATAAAGCAAAAAACACTACAGGCACAAAAATTTCATAAGGTGGGCTTCAAAATTAAAAATCATTTGTCTTCAGTAAGCACTATTAAAAGTGATAGAAAAGCCAAGATGAAGGGGAATGTGTTTTCTCATGTATCTGCTGAATGTGTGTGTCTGTGTGTGTATATCTACACATACATGCATAAATACACACATATATTTACATACATATGGAGAGAGACTCCTTTTTCTGTTAAGTAGTATTTCATATCTATATATGTATTTCATATATATATAAAGAAATCTCTCTCCATATATATATTCTATTTCATATTTTTTATGTATATGAAATAGAAGCAGCCAAAAATGCATGATACACTATAAAATTTTGTTTCTATGAAATTCAAGAAACGCAAAACCAATCATTTGGAAAAGATAGCTGAAAAGTGGATGCCTCTGTGGGAGGAATGGAATTTTCTGGAAAGGGGCATGAGAAAATTCTCTAGGGATCTGGAAATATTTTAAATTTTGATTGATGTTATATATATGATTGAATTTATTTGTTGTTGAAATTCATCAGAATGCATACTTAAGATACGAGCATTTTAATATATGTTACTGTGTCTCAATGAAAATTTAAAAACAGTTTTTTTTTTTTTTTTTTTTGAGACGGAGTTTCGCTCTTGTTACCCAGGCTGGAGTGCAATGGCGCGATCTCGGCTCACCGCAACCTCCGCCTCCTGGGTTCAGGCAATTCTCCTGCCTCAGCCTCCTGAGTCGCTGGGATTACAGGCACGCACCACCATGCCCAGCTAATTTTTTGTATTTTTAGTAGAGGCGGGGTTTCACCTTGTTGACCAGGATGGTCTCGATTTCTTGACCTCATGATCCACCGCCTCGGCCTCCCAAAGTGCTGGGATTACAGGCGTGAGCCACCGCGCCCGGCCCAAAAACAGTTTTAAAAAGAACTCATGTATGTAAAACTAGTTCCCATTTGGTGATTTCCCCTGCACTGGTGTAGGAGTAATCTCCCACCTGAAACTTGTGGGGGCTCTCTTGTACAATTGGGCTTCTGTTCTGAGAAGGGTATCTAAGGGAGCATCAAGGTTTGTGGGTGTCGGTCATTTGAGGCTATGACAGAGGCCCTAAGGCTGGAAGAGAAAACCAACAGAAAGACTACTAACAAAAATTTCCCGTCAAAGACATACACATGCACACGGAAATAAATACTCTCTCCATATTAAGAGATCAGAGTTAACAAATACGCATGTAAAAGAGTCAGTGAGATTTCTGACTTTTTTAGTCTTAACTGCAAGGAACTGTGGAGCTGGTGAAGAAGAAATATTGAATCCCTAAAGTTTGAATTTGGACACAATGAAATAGTGGTATTTCTATTAAGGTTAAAAATTAAATGTGTATACACACACACATATATATATAAACACACACACATATATATACACATACATACACACAATGATTCTAATTGCATCTGCCTTTTCTCAAACATTCTATAGTCAGCTCTGTTACTTCTTTCAGGCTTCTGGTTAATATCAACTCCTTAGGAGACTTTGCTTAACATTCTGCTTGAAATAGAAATGATATTCTTACACTATTTCCCTGTTTATCACCTTGCTCCTACGCCTCCTCTTCCTCCTCCTTCTTCTCTTCCTTCTTCTTTTCCTTCTCCTTCTTATCCTCCTTCCCTTTTCTCCTCTTTCTGCTCCTCCTCATATCTTCCTCTCAAAATCAAAAAGTGAAAATCAGGTGTTCTTTTTTTTTCAGTTATAATTGTTACACAATTATAAAATTATTTAAGAAAGCCCCTATTATTCAATTTTCTAATAAACATTTATAAATGGTATATAGCATTAGAGACTTACAGAAATAGTAAAATCGGGGTACAACCCTTTGAGTCATTAGGCTTTATTTTTACTGATATTACTTAGGCTAACGTTAGTTTTTTACCAACATTCTTAATCAAAAGCATTCAGGATCCATTAGGATTTTAAGAATCTTAACCAATTTCTCTAGGCATTAAAACTGAAAAGTATACTACCAATTTTCTTATGACTATTAGTCACTTGATTATTTTTAATAATCCTGGGAAAAAATATATTTTTTGTAAATCACTGGCCAATGTGAGTACTTAGTGCATCTACAGTTGTTCGCTCTTGTAAGAAAAAAGGAAACAGCTTGTCTGAGTTCAGATACCAACCGGAGCCATGTGTAAAGGCTCTTGGGAAGTGTTACGTAGGGCACCTGGAGTGAGAGGTGGCATTTAGAAGAACCTGATGCTATTGGGAAGATCCTGTGGTGGCGGAGGAATTGTCCTATGAGATTGCTATGTATGATAAAGTGAGTCCAGGAGTATTTATATGGGGGTATCAAATAATTCTCCTCTATGGTAAAGTGTAGTCACAGTGTCTCTCTTTGTTAAAAAGCACAGGCTTTGGGGACACAGAGAGTGACATTAGGTGCCAGAGTTCCCATTTGCTAGCTGTGCATGTGTAAGAACACTTCTTAATCTTCATATTTCATAAATCTCCTCTTCCATTCAAACAAAAAGGTTATAAACACTGTCCTCAGAGGACTGTTGCCATAGTTAATGAGATATTACACTTACCATGTAGCACAATATGTAATAAACAATAGGATTTTGTTTTTGTTGTCAAATGACCCCTTTTGTATGTTGTTTAGCAACAGGCAATGCAATGCTTTATCTATGCTAGCTTTTTGAGAGGTAGCAGCCTCCAAATTAATACATATGATTTTATTATTCTTTCCTTTTCTTTTTTCTTTTTGGTCTCATGCTTTTGTTGGAGTACATGAGAATTGCTACAGCAGCCTGAACTCTAAGCTATTTCCCCCTTTTTTTTTTTTTTAAACTTTGTTCTTTTTTTGAGACTAAATCTCACTCTGTCACCCAGGCTAAAGTGCAGTGGTGTGATCTCAGGTTACTGCAACCTACACCTCCCAGGTTCAAGCAATTCTCCTGCCTCAGCCTCCTGAGTAGCTGGGATTACAGGCACCTGCCACCATGCCCAGCTAATTTTTGTATTTTGGGTAGAGACAGGTTTCCCTATGTTGGACAGGCTGGTCTCGAACTCCAGAGACTTCTAGTGATCTGCCCATCATTGCCTCCCAAAGTGCTGGGATTACAGGTGTGAGCCACTGTGCCTGGCCTGTTTTTAGTTAGTTCTAAATATACAGATACTTAGAAGCACATATGAGATTTTGAATTTTAATAGTTAGAAATTACTTGGAATTATTTTGGTTCTCTTACTTAAAAATAATATACATCAAAATAATACGTATATACATTTTAAGAAGAAAAAAGAAAGCATCACCTCATACTATATACATGCTGTATCATCTTAACTCATAGGCTTCATGTGGTCCTCTAGCGTCTTCTGAATTCCATTCGAGAACTTCATAATAGAAAAAGTAATAGCTTTAGAATCTTGACTGCAAAGCAGAGTGTGGCATACTGGAGTATATTGGAGGAAACAATATTTTCAAATGGGAATAGAAGTAAATATCAGCTAAAGTAAGAAAATACTTAGTTAAAGCTCATCCTACGCCCACCATTGTCAATTGAAGTCCTACTCATATTTTTCTAACTGTGTACCAAGAATCTAAATAGTGCAAAATGATGCAAGACCTAAACGGTTTAGGTCATCATATATTAATATAAATTACACGGTTAATTCATACCTTATTACAATCAACTGTGACATCTTGGTTATGAATGTTCTTTTAATAAGATAATAGAAAAAACATTACTGTGGCA